GAGGAACACTGTTGTTGAGTAACAGCACTGGCAGAGGCAGCAGGTACGGGGTGAACCTGAGATTTCCTCATGAAGCGAACATTAGAGACATCAGAGGGGTTGAGATCAGGTTTTAGCACTCGTAAAATTGCTAAAGCTAGCGGTGTGGGCTCAGAGAGANGCGGTAGATAGCTGCAACGAAGACAGGTGATGATCCCTCAGGCCGGATCTCGCAAAAAAGATATTCAACATGTCCAGGCCTCCCCGCCCAGACGGTGTTTGACATAGAGATAGTAGTAGCCTTGACAGAATCATGGTAATAGATGGCAACACCTCCACCATGCTNTGAGTTGCACAGTGAGATCAGCTACAGACTGCTGGAGTCCACAAATCTCATCACGTTGCATCGTAACAATCGTTTCAACATCATCCATACGTTTGAGCAGAGCTGGCAGTTGGTCAAGAGTTGATACTTTAACCTTAACAGCAGCAAGCTCAGACTGAACAGAGTCAAGTTGGGTGAAAAGGGCGTCCAGCTTCTCAGTACGTTTAGTGATGATCGCCAGAGACTCAAGGATGCTAGCATTTCCTGCATCAGATTGTGGGGTACTCAGTTAATCCGTGGTATAAAGGGGTGGCAGTAGAGGGAATACCGAAGTACTTGGAGAATAGCTGGGGAGAGGATAGGTGGAATAGGGTTGCGAGATTTAGGCTGGGGGAGGAGCTAAGAGGGGAGAAGAAATGGGAAAAGGAAGAGCAGAGCAGATGTAGGGGATGCGGGTAGAGGAGGAAGACATGGAAACACGTCTTGGAGGAATGTAGGGAAGAGGAGGAAAGAGGGAGGGATGTGTGGGAAAGAGTAAATGAGATAGTAGATGAACAAGGGTCAGGGGAGAAGTGGATGATGGAATGGGAGAGGCAGGGAAGGGGAACGGAATGAAAGAGGACGAATGAAAGGTTGATGGGAAGGGGAGAAGGGGAGGTGGGGGGCATCTCGTCGCACGTGGGGGGGGGGAAGAGGGGGTAGCAGCAGATTGTGAGAAAATCTCATGTGGAGACCGGAAGCCGAGGTCCCCCTCTTTCACTCGAATTCGTGTGAAATTTTTTCGTGCGTGTTAACACTCAGCATAATGGAACGATGATGAATCATTAATTGCTAACAGGAACAATAAAAAAAAGCAGAATAAAAGAACATCAACGTCGCGGCCGCTTGCGGCCGCGGCGGTGCTAGTTTAATGTATACACGTGTTCGTTTCTTATTCGAGGTTAGAAATCCGATTTGTAATCCTTGCGCGCTTTCGTAAATAGCACTGTCGCGACCGAATTGCTCATTCTCATGAAAGGTCTCATGAGAATGCGTCTTTCATCCGTCGCGATGACTCTGAAGATAACATCATGTGGGAATTTATTCGAACGACACTCTATTTCTGTTTCATACGTTCATGATCGAACACGTCCGTTTGATTTCGACTTTCGGTGAATCGATTCGACATTCTTACATTCGAGTTTTCATTCGGCAGCCATTACGCTTTCCTTTATATATATACTAGCGCCGCCGCGGCCGCAAGCGGCCGCGACGTTGATGCCCATTTATTATGCAATGCCTTTGCTTTTTTTGTTTCTTTCGAAAATTAATGATTTATCGTCGTTTTAGTCTATTGAGTGTTAAAGTTAATAAAAACAATACGTTTCGGTTCATTGCTTGTTCAATTTCAATATTATAATAAGTGCTCCACTCATTCTGAGTTTCCGTCCTCATTGAATGAAATTTGAATTACTATTGTAATCAAAATTATATTCAGAGTACAAAACAACAATTATCAAATTTCTCACAGTCCGTAATTTTTTTGTCTTCGCCTCCCTCTTTATTTCCGTTTACAACTTGACAAAAGTATTCAATTATTTTTCCAGAAAAATTATGGGGTCAATTCTGATGTTCTTTCGCTAATTCGAAGTGTCTTCGCTTCATTCATGATTTTTTTCACAATTTTATTCGACGATGTCATAAACTTCAAACTTTCATCATCTAATCATCTGAAATTTTTTCAAATTTTCTATAATCTTTCGAAATTTATATGACTTTTTTTCAAGAAACTTGAAAATTTTTGTGGAATTGTGGAGAAAATCCGAAGAATTACCAAATTATTTCCTCCTTTCGTATTTCAATTAATCAGAGTGCAGTATTCGGGCTTTCATGACTGCTTCGAATCAGTTTTATTTGCGAAATGCCGCCCTTTCCTATCAATTGTTTTCCCATTATTTATTCAACAATCCTCGAATATTTGAGAGATATTGTAAATGCTTTGTAATTTTCAAAAACTCCATAGATTGTCTTTAAGTTCTTCAGAAAACCTCATAATTGTCTTGAATTTTTGGAAAACTCCCGAATTATCTTACATTTGGGAAAAAAATTGACAGTTCTGATTTTTTTGGAAACCTGCAACCTTCCTCGAAGTTTCTATAATTCATTCCCTATTCACCCCCTTAGAGATGGATTTTGTAACGAAGCTGAAACACGTATTTATCAATTTCTAACAATCTCTTGATGAGTGCTCACATAAAAGATAAAACCTACTCTAAAATTTTCATATTATCAGTTTCAATAGTTTCGACTTTTGATTACTATCTTAGTCAAGCTGAAGGGCTCTCTTACCATATTTATAACACAATTCCCGTCGGACTCAGAATTCCTTTCTTCCATTCATTGTTCATAATCATTGTCATTGCAAAAAGCAGTACGACTGATGAAAATGATGTGCCTCAATTTATTAACTATGAAATATTTATATTGCAATGAATAATCTGCGCATATGCTAATTCCTCTGCTCACTGAATAAGATTTCAATCATAATTACAATCCAATTTCTACTCGAACATAATTCGAAGAGTAAATTGCCGAAATTCAATGTTTGGTGATACTCTGGTAAAAGTGCTTGCCAACACCGTGATACAATTTTTCAATCAGTTCACTTGGTAATTCAATTAATCTATTGTTCATATCATCAACATAATTCCCCATTTAGAATATTGTCACCTCATGTTTTCAGCACCAAATTTTGGAAATTAAAACGTAAAATGACAATTTGACTTCTGCTCGATTCTTTTTTGTGAATCTGAAATTCATGTTAATGTGTCAGATATTATGAAAATATCATCATTCCTGTTCTCTACTGTTATGGAATATTGAGCCACAGCTGTTCATTCATAACTGAATTTCTTTTATTCCTATATTATTATTATTCTTTGTTCAACGTGAAAAAATCTATCATCATTTGCACTGTAGTGCATTCAGATTCTTCTGCACTTCATGTAAAAAATATCATAATAAACTCATAATTCTAGTTATTGATTCTAATCAACTTTGGAGAAAACCTTAGTAAGCGCAACATTAAGAAAGTTGAATCATTCTATTGCCCCCGACCTAAATGATTAGAACAATTATAGTTGGTTTATCAATCGAAAATACAGAGTAAGAAATTGGGTGCAGAATATTCACGTTTTCAATGAAAATTCAAGCAACTTTTTATTTTCATACTGTTAAGAAATGTTGAATTCCATTAAATTTTCAGTCAATTTTTAAATTTCATGACTTTCCTCTCTCAATTTAAATTAAATGTCTTGCTCCTAAAAATTACCACTGAACTATCCATGAATTTCAATTTTTTTCAACAGTATAATTGCTAGGAAAAAATGAAGTCGACTTTCTGAAATACACTAATGAAATGATTGGAAAATCACAATTTTCGAAGACCACAATCATTTTTTATATAAATAATCCAATAGCAATCAATGTTTCACTCAAAGAATAATTTTTTTCGTGTAACGGGACCTGAAAAACCCCATCCTCGCCTTCGACTCGGAAGGCAATCGTGCACGTGGAGGACGGTGATCTGTTTTCCAAGGCTCGGGCATGTAATGTACTATTCCTGAATTATAACGAATTCTTCCGTTTTCAGAATTTCACCAAAAATTAATTCCATGTCAAAAAAATCAATATTATTTGATTTTGTGATATAAGTATTGACTTCATTAAACAAACCATCGAATAACCAAAATCGAATGAAAAATTTAAAATTGAATATTTTTAGATTTTCTATTTTTTTTTTCAATTCATTCTCGACATTCAAGTTCATTAATCATCTATAATTTAATCTTGTCAGCTCGTAACTTTTATCACCAAAAAATCATTTCCCATTCCACTAATTATAAACAAATGCGTGTATTATAGAAAATATGCACTGATGTAATTCTAGCGCGCTTTCGTAAATAGCACTGTCGCGGCCGAATTGCTCATTCTCATGAAAGTTCTCATGAGAATGCGTCTTTCATCCGCCGCAATGACTCTGAAGATAACATCATGTGGCAATTTATTCGAACGACACTCTATTTCTGTTTCATAGGTTCATGATCGAACACGTCCGTTCGACTTCGACTTTCGGTGAATCGATTCGACATTCTTCAATTCGAGTTTTCATTCGGCAGCCATTATGCTTTCCTTTATATAAGGATAATAAGGATGGATATTTATGTCGATATTTACACAATCGATACTCAATTATCCGTTTCATTGCATTCGTTCTCACACTTAACCGAACGGCGAATGCGAGTTCGACTTTCACAGAATCGATTCGCATTCGAGTTTTCATTCGAGATTCCCGATGCCTCTCTCTTATTATATAGGAACTAGCATTATAAAGCGCACTTCGCGCGCCCGGCAAAGTTTTTTAACCTCATCAATGGCTCAATCTTCATCAACACAAGCTGTCATTTTTTTCTTTAATCGATAGTCGACAGTTGTTTGATAATCGATATTTTTATTCGATTAAAAAAAATCGACACATCGCAATTTCGAGATTTGGTCTTCTCCTTTAGTATAATTGATTGAAGCCTTCAAGAAAATGTTATGAGTTTTTTTTGTTATTGGTAGAGATGCCAACGATTTCCATAAACTCCACCTCCGAAATGGATGCTAAGTTTGTTATAAAAATATTCGGTTAATTGAAGTAATTAGAAACTATTACCTTGTGATATGTATCTTTCTGCCATGTTTTAACTTGTTGTATAATATCATCACAAAGATTCTCCTTGACTCTGAGATGGAGATCACACAGCCTGTCAGACTCAACGAGGGACCCCTTCCACGCGGCTTCGGTAGTTCCGTACTCCGGGCCCTTCTCAATTTTTTCATTCCATGACTTAGACCAGCCTTTTAGTGCCTTGGCGTAATTCTTCTCGATCTCCGCCCTCTCCTGAACGAGAGCAATGAGGCTGTCACAGAGCTTGTGACCATCGTCGATTCTCTTGGTTGTTCGTTTGTAGTTGCCTGGCTCCCAGAAAGAGTCCGAGGTAGCAATTAACATATTATCGTCGCTGTGGTGTGACATCTTAACCTAAGATGAATAACTCCTTTCTGAAACAAATAAAATAAAGGAAAGTTAATCAAAAATATCCGAAATGTGATGACAATAATAACACACATGGAAACGGTTTGCGAATGTGGACTTTTTGAATTACTACAATGTATATAATTATTTTATTCAAATATCAAATTGTCTGCATTTTTTGAAGACTGAAAATACCGAAATTCTACAGACAAATATCCGAGCAATTCCACGTAAAATCCGAAATTTAAAAAAATGTCATGTTTCCGATTGTCTTGCCAATTTTTTAGAAGGAGTACATGAGATCAAACTCTCATAAAATTTTTAGAGCGATTCGATTTTTTTTCAGCGAGTTATGATTTTTCAAAAAAATTCATTTGTTCCACTTGAATTTTGATTGTTTGAGAAAACGATCAAACAATCGATTGAATTTAATCATTAGGAATAGAATTTGAGTTTTCACACATTTGAAAGTATTTCAAAAATTAATATCCCTTAAAAGACAAGAATAGTTTGACAGAAAGAAAAGAAGATATTGCTTCCCTTTGAATTAAAGCGATTGAGTGTAAGCGACGGTTATATTTTTTCAATTTCTGGAGGTTTTCCTCTGAATAAACTCCCTATTCATTTATTATGAAAGTCTCTGATTCATGATTTACTGAATCGAAGCTTTCAATAAATTTTCTTTCAATAAATTTTCGTTAAAAAAAACGATTTTTTGTGGCAAAAAATTCTCACTTTGTTATGAAATGTTCATGTTCAAGGCATGAACACTTCACCAAAATCTGACATTGTCTGACAGATTATCCGGAATTCTTATCCCACGAAATTTATCCTCAAGAGATGAGATATTGGGTGTGTGAATATGACTCCGCCCTTTTTTGTTCAAATAAAACACATTTGCTTCTTTAGAAAATTAAAGAAAAGTTAATTGAAAGTATGCTCCATCTGCAGCTACAACCTTCGCCCATCTTTCAGGTAATTTACGTATTCCTTGCCTGAAGAAATCCTGGTCTTTTGAGCTGATCCAATTATCAAGCCAAATTTTGATACTTTCGTTTTGGTACTTTCCGTTCTCCCGTAAGATCTGACTGCAGTGTTCGAGATACCGTGAGGGCATCAGTTATCGCACGGTTAAGAAAAATTTGCAGGTTAATAATGGATTATTCGCGTTTCATGCATTAATTAATGAGTCTGATGGTTTCAATGTGAAGTCTGATGTTTTTTCGATGCAAAAATGATAGATTTTTATCGAAATTCCACTAAATTCAATAAATATTGACGAAAACTGAACACCGTTCCCAGTCGGTAGTGATCGGACGCCCCAAACCGACCCACTGCAGTTCTCGGACACTAGGCATGTAGTTATCGGACGAAGTGAATTACAAGAGGTTGATCAAAAGAAATAGAGGAAATAACTCATAACAAACATCCGTACAATAGTTTTACTATTTTCCCAACAGTCATAAACCTTTAAAAATTAACACCAATCAATGATAAGGTACAAATATTTAATATACGTACGTAATATACATACGTACAATAGTTTTACTATTTTCCCAACAGTCATAAACCTTTAAAAATTAACATCAATCAATGATAAGGTACAAATACTTAATATAATGAAGGTTTATTCGTTATTGTTCTCTGGAAAGAATTTTTGCTGGGGGGCTGTTGGTATCTTTGTCCTCTCCGAGGCTATCATCCAATAATTCCTTTTTAATTTTTCTGGCCACATCGGGCTCCTCTCCTTTTATTTTACTTTCCACTGGTTTTTTCCTTTTTATGCCTCTCTTTTTAGCCACAATACTGGGACTCCTCTTCTTGGCTTTGGCCAATTCTTCCTTCTTCTGCTTTTCTGCCAACATCTTCTCCTTCTTGATTGAACGAGCCACTTTTTTTCGTACACTTCCCCCAAGACACACTCAGGACCTGGTTTAATAATTTCAGGTGCTGTTTTCCCCCTTTTCTTATCAAACAATGTTGACTTGGGAATATTGTATTCTTTGCTCACTGCTCCTAGTGTTCTCCCTGAATTCACGGCCTCCAGAGCTCTTCGTAAATCATCCTTGCTGTATTGTGATCTTGATTTTTTAGTTTTAGTCGTTTTTTCAGGCGTGGACCTAGAAGATAGAAAAAGTGGGTCAATTTCTCGATTCTACTATTTTGTTTTTTATTTTCATCATTGTTCTCATCATCAAATAATTAAAAGATTAACAAAAAAACCGTTTCAAAGAGAATACCGGCACTTGACAGAATGGATCTTTCGAGGTTAGAAGGCGAATAAATGACCGTGCGTTAACTGCGGTAGCCCACACTCGGGGCTTGCAGATTCCGGAAATGTGATTTCTTTCATAAAAAAAAATATTTTCTTCCTTTTTTTGATGTGTATGTATTCTAGATCTATTCCTCAACCTATACAAATTAATTCGAATCAATTTTCTACTCACATTTTGCTGGTATATCCTTGTGAAACCTCCAGGAACCTCAGCCTTCGCCTACTACATCACACTTGACGAACACATCAGTCACCAGACGGTCAGATAAAATATCTTCGTATTAATTACACACAATTATTTCAATATTCAAAAAAATTGTGACTTGTAGACCACTCATTCAACTCGACAAAGAGACAAGGCTAAATGGCCGTCGATGATTAGCTATATTTGATAAATGCCAAATTCCGTCGTTAGAGCGCTCGATTTCCGATAACAGGGGTTCGTGCGATAACTGGTGCCCTCACGGTAAGTGGTAATCCGAAAGCGCTGTCTGGCGAATATGGCGGGTGGAGTAGCACTTCCCAGTCCTGTCCATCTAAATATCTTTTCACAATTTGGGCGGTATGCGGTTTGGCATTGTCATGTTGAAGAATTAATTTACTGTGCCTATTCACCCATTCTGGTCGTTTTTCTTCTATGGCTCGCGTCAAACGCGTTAGTTGTCGTCGGTAAACTTCTCCATTAAAAGTTTGAGAGGGTTCGAGCAACTCATAATATACAACACCTCTCTGATCCCACCAAATGCAGAGCATAACCTTGGCACTGTGAATATTTCTTTTTGGCGTTTAGGATTCTCATAATATATCCATTTTTCATCTCCTGTAACTATTCGGTGCAAAAATGCTTTTCTTTGCTGTCTTTGAAGTAGCATTTCACAATTTTTTTTCGACGTTCCATGTCTCTTTCTTTGAATTCATATGGAACCCAATCACCAACTTTTTGAACCATTCCCACTGCTTTTAAACGCTTTGCAACAGTTGATCGTTGAACATTTAATGCTGCAGCCAATTCTGATTGAGTTTGGCAAGAATCCTCTGCCAATAATGCCTCCAATTCAGCATCTTCAAATTTTTTTGGTGATTTTCCATGTTCTCTGGCCTCAGTGCCAAAATCATTGTTTTGAAATCGTCGAAACCATTCCTTGCAAGTTGTATTAGATGGAGCATGCTCACCGTAAATCTCCATAAGCAAACGATGAGTTTCCGCTACACTTTTCTTTGCAATATAATAGTGTAATAACACTTCCCGCAAATGATGTCTACTTGGAACAAAAACCGACATTGTCACGGAGGTAAAAACACTCGTTGCTTACATTTCAACCAAATGTCACGTAGTGCGTTTGACAGCTGACATAAAGTACTATCGAATACAAGTGTTGCCATTTATTCGTGCACGTAAGCAATACTAAAAACGACATCTGTTGGAAAAGGGCGGAGTCATATTCACACACCTAATATGTGGCGCAAGAAATTAGTTTTATGATATTATGACGATATTTCTCAGTGTATCATCGATTTCATTGTTAAAAAAACAACTTGGGTTCATGGGTTGATACTTGTACTGACACAACGTTGCTCGACTCTGATAGAAAAAATAGAAGGATTTAGTTGCTGTTAATAAGGCTCTTAACTATTAATATAATTCATTAACTATTGTAGTAACGAAAATTTTAGGTGTCTCGATCGTGGGGAATTACGTGTACAGTTTAGTTATAGATGGTCTAGACGTTGGGGAACTACGCGAGGATAGTTACATTGTAAAGTATTCCAGACGTTAAGGAAAATATTTTATTAAGGTAGGATTAAGTCTAGACGTAGAGTTTTATAGTTTTATTACGGTAACGCCGTAGCCACCCTCATCGATGACGCACGACCCCCTAGCTGACCCACGCTGCCACGTTTCGGGAAAACTTCCAAATATGGAAATGGCGAGTAAGGCCCAGAAAGTGCGTGGTAGTGGGGGAAGGACGCTAGGAGAGACGACATTTAAGGGATGAGGGTACAACGGGGAGGGCATTTTATTGTCGGGAACGATTAGACGCATATTGAAGTCGAAGAAGTAGACGAAGTCCTCATCAGAGGCATTAGACGATTTAGCCGTTTTTCTTGAAGTGTTTTATCTTTTAAAAATATACAACGAATGGTGTTAATAGTGGAAAAGCCTCATTAACAGCAGCTAAAACCTACTATCAGTGTGTCATTTGAAAAAAAACGGGAGATTTTAGAGTGCTTACATTTTTTATCTTAACTTTTGTAATAATGAACTGGAAATACGTAACAGACCAAATTTGACATTCTGGACACACTGGAAGTCAAATTAGTTGCTGAGTAGTCAAATCATGTCTTCGAATTATATGTAGTTCCTCGAACGCGGACTGTGTAGCATGATTAATTATGACCTGATTACGAAGAAGTCATGCGGATAATTGCAGTTGATATTTGAACCTCAATATTTATCTTGAGATATTAAACTCGTGACATATATCTGTGATATTGTGTCTCGATGTCTTTCCTATGTATACTCTAGTTTTCTTCCACATGGTTGGCTTTTATCTACCCCCTCTTTAATTTGATCATCATTCATTGACTATACTCTTCATTTCGAAAATTCAAGATATGCATGAATACTGTTCTATGACGTCGGACACTAGTAACAATTGATTGACATTCTGAAAATTCATAGCAATAAAACGGGTATAGAACAATCAGTACTACAATGTATGGTTACATATCTTCGACGTGTAGAACCTT